GGGAGATGGAGAAGGGCGGCGGTTCCCCCTCCGCGGGCGGCAGCTGCCCGCAGAAGAACGCCGAGATCCTCAGCAGCCAGTACGGCATCAACCTCTTCCTGGCCGGGCTGCTGCTCACCTTCGCCTGGGCCGTGCATGCCGTGGGCATCAGCAAGAGCCACCTGCTCTCCTACCTCATCACGCTGATGCTCGTCCAGCTGCTGTGGATGCTGTGGTACCTCGGCCGGAGCTGCACGCAGAGGAGGCTGATCCGGGACAAGGACACGCACGCCGGGGCCCGCTGGCTGAAGTGTAAGTACTGGCCGGTGGCACGCAGGGTGACCCCGCATGCAGGGTGACCCCACACGCAGGGTGATCCCGCACGCAGGGCGGCCAGCACCTGTCCCTGCTGCTGCTTTGATGCTCTCTCCATCCCTACCAGGAGGCAGCCTGGTATTCGTGAACTTAACGCACACGCAGCGCACTCTAAAGTAAATATATGCATAAGCTGAACATACTAGGAGATTGTATGGGAAAGCTGTTTGCTAAACATCCTCACTTTCCGACCTACCATTTACAGTGCTGAAAGCTCCAGCGCCTTTTGTCCCTTACCAGGCTGGTTTGGTGACATTTGAAATATAAAATACAGCTAATGGAAGAGGCGATTTTGTTGGTGTCATGCAACTCTTTTGCAGGAATTCCCACCTTTTCCAGACAATATAATACAACTTGCTTTAGGCTAGCACCAGCCAGAGACGTCCTCAAGTGCTCCCTATACCAATGTATATCAGAGATTCCCATTAATATGTGTACAGTGATGCCTTAGAAACATCTGGAGTTAGACAGAAGAAGACAAAATCCATGGCCAAGTAAATTTGTAGATTAAGACATAAAACATCTAAGCAAGGAATCTAAAGAGAGCATTAGCTTGTAGGAAAAGTATACAAGTTTGCCCAAGTAGCGGTGGGATGCGATGGCCCTTATTTGCAGAGTCAGGTGTGTAAGGATGTAAAGGTGTATTGAGACAAGGTGGTTGGGGAGCACATCACAGAATCATAGCGACAGGAATGTTTCTGGATCCCAGGAAAACAAAAGAACCAATATCAACACTGTATAGAGTAATAGGCAAGCCCAGTTTTACCGACCTCTTTTCCGGTCTCAGCGCTGTAAATAATAGGTTGGAAAGTAAGTATTTTAAGTGAGGTGCTGCAAAACAGCTTTTCCGTAAAGTATTTTTTACCTGCTAGCAATGTGAAAACAGTTAATTATCACAGCAGCTAATGAAATATCTAAATGAAAATCCCAAGAACATCTACAATCTGCTTATTTTGAAAAGTAAGGTTGTGTTGTAGAGATTTATCCTGTTCTCAGTCTCAGTGCTTGTGTGTCTTTTATTTTCTTTGCAACAGTTAACAATTGTGCTGTATAAATTGCTCAGGGAAAACTTTTGTTTTGATGTCTAAAATACAGCCATGGTCTGTAGACTCTTTCCGAAATGTATGGAGTTCTTGTACCAGCTGTTGAATTGTTCTCCTTGATTATTCACTGTTTTCCAAAACAATATTTGGCTTCCAGGCATTCTTCAATTATTAGCTTATGTGGCCTACAACCTCCTGAAACTCATTAATGCAAGAATTTGGTCCTATTTTGGACCAAACTTTGCTTTTGTTACTCAGAGGGTAGCTTTCCCCTCCTAGGTATGGAATAAACACTGCTTAACATGGGTAAGTACAGCAGGACCCCCTGCCCTTTTTCTTTTGGCACAGCATTCACAGCATTTCATTTGTCCTACAGGATATAAGGAGTTACAGAAACTTAGAAATAAGATACTGCAATGAACTACTGGGTTACCTTATCCATTTCTTTTACCAGCACAGGGTGGCTCTTTGTACTAGCTTCTCAAGTGGTGCGGCTTCCATGGCTTCTCTTGGATGTCTAGGCTGCAATTCAACAAACCTGCCCTTAGGGAAAGTCCTACACTTTCCTATTCTTAGGAGTTTCTTGTAGTTAAAACAAGCCTGTACAAGACCTTTATCCTCTGTTGGTAAAAGAAAACTTATTTGAGCTAAGGAAAAACTCTGGTGGCAACTCCGCTGCCAAGATCCCTCTTGCCCTCCTCTGCATCAGTGGTTTTCTCATAGAAATCTTTTATCTGAAAGACTAAAAGTCCAAAAAGGAGGAGGGGGGAGGACAGATTTTCATCAAGTCTTTCCACAGAAAGCTCTTTGCAAGTTTTGACTAGCTCTATCAGCTGCTTTTGAAGAATATCTCCTCGCTCTCATTGTGAAAGCGAATGTTCTTGTATTAAGAAGTATAAAATCAGTATATTTTCATGATTCCCTTCAAACTGTGAATATAATTTTAGTAAAAGCAGTGGTAGCTGGCTACTTAGAGCATTTTGCTATGACAAAGGCTGAAAAAGAATGACTTAACAAAAACCTCCTATAACTGAGTCCTTGCATACAGTTAACAACGCTAGAAGGACAAATAGTTTACAAGGATTGCTCTCAGAAAGGTTTCCTTGAGCATTTTTGCAGCTGTGTGAACCCTAGAACCCAGTTGTCTTCCCACTTGTGTGGTAGACCAAGAACTGCTCTTATAGTCTGAATGTGACAAAAATTTCTGGGGAAATTTATTAAGGTACAGTTATCCTGACCCAAATAATCACAGGGAGCTTAGGAAGTCCTTGCCTTGATTCGTTCCAAATCTTATTCTCCTGAGTACACTCTCCTGTTAGGAAAAGCTCTCTTACTATTAATTGGAAGTCCGGCCAAGTGAGCCAGAGAACTCAAAATAACAATCAATTGGCTTCACAAATGGCTTTATTTTATCACGTTCTTTAGCAGCACAGCTTCTGTTTAAAAAGCATAGACAGCCAGTCAGCTTATACAGCTCTTGGCAGACTCCAACTTGTATCTTTTTACTGTTTGTGTTAAATTGTCTATTATTTGAACAATAAGTTTAGAGTGGCATTTTGCAACTATCATTATTTTCTTCTTCATGGTTAATAGACAGAATTAAGACACGACTTAGCAATACTGCAAATCTGATTCTTGATCTCCTAAGACACATGGGTTTCAATGACCATTTGAAAAAAATCGGTTTTTTAAATTTTTATAATAAAGTGCTCAATAGCAATCATTTCACACTTCTATAGCTTTCAAACAGAACTAGCTAAACAGTGGAATTATATTCCTTATTTATAATTACTGATATATATCTAGTATTTAGTATTAGTAGATAATGCTGAGGTTTCCATCAGGAAAAGTTAACATGGAAACCATTAGCATGCCATATGTATGGTCATTATAGTTGTGCTTCAATTTTTGACTAAGCAAATTAGTGCCATCATTCTCTTTTGAAGAGGTGCAGGAGCCGGATCACTAACCTAAGATGTGTTTGCTTTTTATTTTTGTGAATTTAAACCTGAGCCCTTTGCCTTGCCTTGCCTTGCTTTGCCTTTCCTCTTCCCATTTCTTCTGGTTAACAAGTCCCTTGTGATCCCGTTCTGCTGAGCCAATCTCATGGGTAGTGGAAGCAAGGATGCAGAACTTTTACATTTTCCGCCCATTTTGCTCGGACATTACCACTTCAGTAAAGCAGTTCCTCAGGGCTTGATTCTGCACCATGAATTCATCGGGAAATTACCTTACTAGTGTTGTAATCGGTGAATTAAATACCTTTCTAAAATACTCTGTAAAGTCAACACATGCACAACAATTCAATGTAGAGTAATTGCTGAAGATTTTTATAATCTTTTTGCCTCAGAAGATAGCATTTCCCTTCTCATTGAAACAATTACAGTACACGTTATGTCCCTAAAATTGGCATCTTTCAGACAAATGGTGAAACAGGCTGAGTTTCCTGCATACTTTCTAAATAAACCATGAATCACAGACTCAATCATAGAATAATTTAGGTGGGAAGGGGCCTCTGGAGGTCATCTAGTCCAACACCTTGCTCAGAGCAGGACCAATTACCTCAGGTAAAGTTATTTCAGAATAATTAACAATTCTAATTTATTTCAGATTTATTTAAATTCTTTAAATAAGGAAGGAAATGTATAATTTGATCTCAAGAGTAACCTAGAATGTTGTATTTTGTGATGCCATTTACTTTTATACATAATGAAAACGGCACATCTGTTTAAATGTGGGCTCCAGTCCTGTTACATGTGTTAGAAATAATACAAATTAGGTGACATAATAAGCATAAATAAAAAAAATGTGTGGGATTATACACATGTGTGAAGTGCAGAGCTGAGGTTTTAGATTTTGAAATATGAAAGCAAAAGTTTCTATCTCTTGGTAGAAATTACACTCCCATCAGTAATTTGACATTGTTTTTGTTGTAGGGAGATTGTAAACCAGAAACATAAAATCCTACTGGAATTCATACCCTTGTGGTTAAAAAATTCTGAAGTCTATTTTTGTTTAATTTTAAAGGATCAATGAAATAATAAGCAAGAATGCATTATATTTTTATCATTTATACTTAGTTTTTAGCAATGCAACTTTAATAATAAATACATTATTAATTTAATAAAGTGTTAAGTAAGTGTTATATTTTACTAACACAAGTCGAGTGGAACATGTGGTGCGTATAAGGAAGTTGTGGTCCCTTATACGTGGTCCCTGATAAAGGGTAAATATTCGTCAAAGTCAACACTAGTGATGCTATTTGCTCTGTGAGGAGTTACAAAGAAAGATTAAGATACTGATGTTGATCTATGTCATAAGGTCCAGTTAAGGTCCATGGATAGATTTTTGTCTAGTCTTAATTCAAATAAGGCCAAATTAAATCCTGTGAAAGCTTGGTTGAATAAAACCCTAGAGAGAAAAAAAAAAACACAAGAAGCAAATAAGACTTTAGAGTTTGGTTCAGTAACTTTATTGCCAGTTCTGCTTAGTCATGTGGGTACAAACCCAATAATTAATAATAAATAGCTTTCCAGAATGAGTTCGTAACAAATATTTAGATTCCTGAAAGAAAAATAATTAAACAAGGGGAAACGTGTTTTGAAAGTTCTTTAGCATACAAAATACATGTTTAGAGAAACATACTAGGTTTGGGCTTTTTTAGGGGGTCGGAGGCAGAATAATAGATACAGAAATGAACAGTGTTCCTTTCTAGGAGAACAAACCGTGCAGCTCACTGTAGTTTTGGTCTCTGAGTTAAAGCGTAACCTCCTGAACCACGGGGAAGGCACACCGAGTGATTGTGTTACTTCCCACTGTCGAGCTCTTGGGCCAGCAGACTGTAACATGATTGTTCCTCTCCCTGGAATTGTAAAGTTTGCTGTGGGGCTGTATAGAGTGTTAATTCATGCGCTGTATGGCTGCTTCAGTGCTGCCGTTACTTGAGAGGCTGGCCTCGAAGGAGCTGGGAGCCATCTGCAAGGTGCTGAGTGTCTCCAGGCCCTGGCCATTGCTGGACTGGCTCCTCTGCACTGACGGTGCAAGGTGTGTACAGGGATGTGCTTTCGAAATATGTTGGGCAGAGGTTTTCACAAATTAGAGTGACTTACTACATTGAGTCGATTATCTTCATGAACATCGATCTACTTTTATTTCCCTAAACAAGAACACAGATATTGATCGACTTCTATTTCCCTAAACAGATTTAGCATGTTGGTACAGATTGTCTCTAGACACTAGAACTGTACATTGACGTTTTCTAATATCTGTTTCATTTGTAGGTGGGATTACATTATTTGCAGTGATTACTTTAATTCTGGACTCTTTTAAAATTGGATACTATATTGATTTTTCGAACTGTTTATCACCAACTGAAGGCATTTTTCCTGTTACACATGCCGTGCACACCATCTTACAGGTAAAAGTCACTGATTGCAGTTTTATATTATATCTGTATTTATTATGAAAAGTGTTTGTTATCTTCTCATCATTGGTAATTTTACAGTAAAGTAATTTCTATAATACTTTTGAGGGCTCAATTCTTCTGCATGCATATCCTTTCTATGTGCAAATTCAGTCTTTGCAACCTGAGATTGCTCAGCCATAAAACCTACATGGGTTCAAAAAAAGAAATAATCAAAAAATGCTCTCCTATAGTTGAAGTACATGCTTTTTTAGTTCAAGTTACATATATAGCTTTCAGAATTTTCAGGCTGAAGTGAGCAGCTTCGCTACAGACAATTCGCTTTCTTCTGTATGTGGGACTTGCCACACAAGTTCAATTCAGTCTGTCTATCCTCATGTCCCATTGTGGTTAGGGGTTGTCAAGGGTTGAGGCTGGGCTGGCCACTAGCGAATGACAGATGCACTTTATTAAGGAGAGGGGTGGAGGTTTGATTCTTCAAAGGGACAAATCCCTTCCCATGTATTTAGCTTGTTATAAAATACTTGTGCATCTTTCCTATACCAAATGAACATGGGTTTTCCTTCTTGAAGCATTTGATTCTGTTTATCAGTGGCTGCACAGTAGCAACCATAGTCAGTGACTCTGGTAAAATATTCCAGCTGCTTGTTTATTTTAAGGCTTTGGGTCTCTATTATACTGTGATATTCCATAGCTGATTGTATATCCCATGAATTCCTGAGCCCCTGTCAGCAGATTTGCAGGAAAGAAGGAAAGAAAAAGCCACTTAACTAAGATAGTCAGTTATAGCCAGGTCATTTAATGCACTTTCCAAGATTATTAAGTTACTCAGAAAGAAAAGAAAGACTTTCGTAGCAGTTGAGGTTATATGTCATAAAAATTTTGATTTTCATCAAAAGCAGCGTGGCAAGCAGATCAAGAGAGGTGATTCTGCCCCTCTACTCTGCCCTGGTGAAACCCCACCTGGAGTACTGCGTTCAGCTCTGGAGCCCCCAACACAAGAAGGACGTGGACCTGTTGGAGTGTGTCCAGAGGAGGGCCATGAAAATGATCAGGGGGCTGGAGCACCTCCCCTGTGATCACAGGCTGAGAGAGTTGGGGTTGTTCAGCCTGGAGAAGAGAAGGCTCTGGGGGGACCTTATGGTGGCCTTCCAATACCTGAAAGGGCCATATAATGCATCAGGGGAAGAACTGTTCACAAGGGTTGGGAGCGACTGGACGAGGGATAATGGTTTTAAGCTAGAAAAGGCTAGATTTAGGTTGGACATTAGGAAAAAGTTATTTAATATGAGGGTGTTGTATCACGGGAACAGCTTGCCCGGAGAGGTAGTGGAAGCCCCATCCCTGGAGACATTCAAGGTCAGGCTTGGTGGGGCTCAGAGCAACCTGACCTAGCTAGAGATGTCCCTGCTTGTTGTAGGGGGGCTGAACTAGATGACCTTTAGATGTCCCTTCCAACCCAACGCAATCTGTGATTCTGTGATTCACGTAAATAAGGGTTTGAACAACCTACATTTTTCTGCTTTCTGTAACAAAAAAACATTGAAATTTAAGCAGTAACTCTGGCCTCTTCTATCTTTTTCTCTGAGGATGAAATTCTGATTTGGTTGAAATAATCTTAATTTCACATTCCTATAATGTCCACTCTCCATCTACTGCAACTTCTTTGCTTTACCTCTGACAAGCAAACCAAGAAAGAAATGAAGCCTTTTTTCCAGGCTGATCTGCATACAGCATTCTTCATTGCATCCAGGTACCCTGAGCTGGCAAGGTTTCCAGCTACCATGAACTGCAGTGTGGAAGAAACGGTGTGTAACAACGCTCAACAGAAGGAACAAGATTTCTGATTTAAATTTTATGTCACACTGAATTTATCACCTACTTAGCTCAAAATAATGAAATCTTGAGCAATCAAAGAAAAGTAAAAAAGTAATTTATTAGATACCTCTTACCTAAGACAAATCTTCTCATGTCTTTGAAACATAGGAGAAAATTACAGCAGAGAACATCCCTAATTAGGTGTCATCTAAAACTGATTTGTTTTCTACAGAATATGTGTCACTTTCCATTGTATTTTACCCTAATGAGACATCCTGATATGTGCCATTAAATTAATAGATACTGCAGCTGTGCAAGCAATGAACCAACACATACCTGCCCTTCCAAGACAGGCCGTGCATTATGCTCTTTCGCAGGCAAAAGTCCCTTTGAGGCAATGAGTACTCTGTGAGCAAAAATTGAATTTTATGCTATTTCTTTACCTTACTGTCTTTTCTCTTCCTATTTCCCCCCACTTTCTTGACACAAATATCTGAACAGATCTTCAAAACTTATGGTTTTTAAGTTTTGAAGAAAGCTTTCACATCTGCTGTTAGATTTTACATCTATCCCAGAATAGGAAATTGAACATGGCATTAGATGAGACCAAGGTGCTAATTTCAATTTGTTTGATTTAAGTTGCAACCTCCATGATATCCTGTAGTCTCCACACTTGGGATTTTACAGTGATCACACCTCCTTTTGATAAAGGCTTCTTTAGAGGATTGAATGAACATGTTATTGCTGGGTAGTGCAGGCAACACACAGAGAACTGCATTTTCCTAGCTTTTTCCAAAATCAGATACTGAATGTCTCAGGCAACACCAGCTGTGGTGTAGGGTGCCTACATTCATGGGCAGAGTTGTAAAATGGACTTCCAGCTACTCTAACTGGCGAAGAAGAACCTAAAGTTCTTTGCACTTTCAGACCATTTCACAGAATCACAGAATCACAGACTGGTAGGAGTTGGAAGGGACCTCTGGGGATCATCTAGTCCAACTCCCCTGCCAAAGCAGGCTCACCTAGAGCAGGTCACACAGGAATGTGTCCAGACGGGTTTTAAATATCTCCAGAGAAGGAGACTCCACAACCTCCCTGGGCAGCCTGTTCCAGTGCTCTGCCACCTTCAGAGTGAAGAAGTTTCTCCTCATGTTCAAGTGGAACTTTCTGTGCTCCAGTTTGTGCCCATGGCCCCTTGCTCTGTCACTGGGCACCACTGAGAAGAGCCTGGCCCCAGCCTTTTGACGCCAAGTTTGTTGTTTGTTTGTTTCTGGAACACCAAACCAGGCAGCTTTCTAAGAGAACCCCCTTGGACCATTTCTGTCCTGATAGTTTACCTATGGTCAAGTTCAGTACCCTAGGAGCTATTCTGAGACAACAGGACTCCCAGTTTCACCCTAACATCCCTGAGGAATATTCGTATCGTTCTCCTTGCACTTATCAGCACCTGGAACAGTTTTGTATCAGCAACAATCTGTATCCTGAGGTTTTCATTATCCTCCTGCAAACAGAGATTCCCACTCTTAATATTTCTTTCCCCTTTACTTGATAACTCATTACTGTTGTCTCTCTGTCTTTTAACCTCCAGTTTGAGATTTCTGCACCATACTTGGGTGCAACTGCATGTGTTCTTAATGTGGTTGTCTCTCGGACTGATAGCACCACCATTTCTCTTGCTACCTAGGTGTCTGTTGTTTGTTTTATTAATCAAGTCTGGCATCCTTTCACTTAACTCTCTCCCCACCTAGAATTTCATACATTTAATAAGTCATTCAAACTTAGCATCACCACACCCTGCAGCAATCATACTGCTGTGCACAGCTGGCAGCTTTGTTTCCTTTGAAATAAAAACCTCTCCAGATACAGCCACGAGATATGTTTTGGTGAGTTGTGCTGAGACTCTCTACTGTTGAGCCACTATCTTTGCATATAAGAAATCTTAATTTCATCATGCCAGAGAGGTTCTGAGTGATCATCAGAGGAAACCATGAGTTATTTCATATGCGTGGAGATGGAGCTATGACAGTTTAAATCATCAGAGTTTCTGCCTACAGATGTGCTTTCCTTTTTGAGTGTCACACACGCTTATCAGCATAATGACATTTCTCTGTATTCCTTTCCTTTAGGTGTACTTTCTTTGGTGTCATGCAAAGGATATTATCCAGTCTTTCAAAACACTTGAAAGGTAAAGTGGATCTGATCCTCATCTGGCAATCTAACAGGTGTAGGTCTGCACAGTGCTTTGACTCCTGCAGTTTTACTATATGAGGGACAATGAAAACTTAAAGACTTTGATTCTCTTCCTAATTGTGTTAATACAAATAAAAACTAACTCCATTTACCCAAGTGAGAAGATAATTGTTAGTCTGAATTATTTTTTTCTTATTTAAACTGCACTTGTATTTTATAACATACAACAGTCACAGAATATTTTTATCATGAGAGAGGGAAATGGGCAATGTATGATACCACAGTGTCACTTGCTTTTTTTGAAGGAAGGAAGCGCCATGTACGTGCCTTAGGACTATGCTTTATATTATGTTTTATTTATTTAGCTACTGAAAGGGAATCTGCATCAGTAACCTGCAGTCAGTGCAATATATCTGAGGTATTTTATACTGATTTTTATGGAAAGCCCCTTTTGGAACTAGATGCAGGTGTGCAAATTCACTGGGAAATACAGCCTCCCCGGTGGTATCCCATATACCCAAATCAATAAGGGTTTTGCACATTTCTGACACCAGAACTTGCTTCCAGCAGTTTAACTGATGTGTCCTCTCAACAGCTGAATACATGCGTTTCTTACAGGACTGAGGACTAGTCTTTGAGGCAGCAGAGCCCGTTCTGATGTATTTTTGGTTTTGTGAGAAGGTGGATTAATGTAGATTATCTGTACGTAGAATGTAAATAAACAAACATGGTAACTTTTAAAATGTACATCTCATTATCAATGAGCTGACCAGTTTCTATAGGAAGTAAAATAAAATTACTCTGAAACAGCATTTACAGAGAAGGTTCTCCTTTTATTTTGCTCTCTTGGGTAAGTGTTCAAGCCTCATGCCGATATCACGGAAGGCTTTGCAGTGTCAGCTGGTGGAATCAGCTCTGTGTAAAAGTAGAATTTTAAAAATCCCTAACTGCAAGTCTATCAGTGAGAACAGTGCAGTAATAAAGAACTGTTTCTTAGTGAAGGAACATTACCAGCCTCAGGTGCAGGAGAAAAACGCCTGGCTTGTCAGAAACCAGGAGTCTCAAAAACACGTGGACACCTACCCTCACTGTACCAGCAGTCTGAATGGCATAAAGCCCATTGTTGGCTTCAGCTCTTTCCAGGAGACAAAAATGCATGGACTAGAACTTAGAGAAGGCGGAGGTATCTGTGAAGAAAGACCAGCCACAGTGAGTACGAAGGACCACCACAGAAGGCTGTGAAATATGGCTTGCAAAACTATTAACCCTGTTCAGACTGTTCAATCACTGTCAGTAACATGAAGCTTGTCCAGCCCAAAAAATAACAACCATCACGTAAGAGAGTGTAACAAATAGTAACAGCATGCTATTCATGGTTTAATACATTAAGCCATTGTGTTTTTATAAAATTTGGGAAGTCTAACATTCATTGGTGCTCCACTGAGGAACATCTTTAGAGAGATTGGTTATGATTTTATTTTCCCTGCACGGACAACTAAATAGTGCCATGTAGCATGTCTACAGAAAGCTAATCCGTTTTATTTAATATATATGGAGGCATACTCTGTGCAGATTCCTTCAATAATTACCTTATTTTGTAGGTTTGGGGTTATCCATTCCGTGTTCACAAATTTACTCCTGTGGACAAATGGAGTGCTAACAGAGTCGAAACATCAACTGAATGAACATAAGGAAAGATTAATCACACTTGGTTTTGGGAATATAACAATAGGTAAGCAAAAGAGTTGGTACATTCCTGATCTAACACGCTCTCACACAAAATACTGCGTTAGTGTAGGATGGAGCTGGGTCATTAATGACTATGTCAGCATAGTCATTCCTAGGCAAGTGGTAGTGAGCTGATAGGTGATCGGTTCAGATCACAACTAAAATGTTATATCATCATTACCATGTATGTGATGCAGGCTGTAGTTTTCTGTTTACTCATTTCCCCTTCTGATGTACAGAAGAAAAATAAATGCTGGAAGTTCCAAACAAACAAACAGATTTTTTAAAACATTTTATTTGAGGAGTAACATTGCTGAAGAACCCCTTTATTAGTAAATCATAGAAGTAAATTGAACATAGCAGTGTTAAAAACAGAGTTTACTATTTTGTAAGTTATTCATAATAAAGCAAGTGGGGATAATCCTGCAGACCTTTCCCAGGAGAGTGGTTACATGTGATGTGTGGTCTTGTGGGATTCAGTGGGATGGCTCAAGGGGGTAGGGGTTATCCATTAATGCTGCTTTACAAGACATGGATTTTTTAGTAATGAACCATTTTCTCCACTGGTAAGATTATGCAAGTTACAGTCAACAAACATGGAGTGTAACTGCTGAGGATGCCTTCAGCTTTCAAATGCTACTGAAGCATGGGGAAATTAGGAATGCTTAACTTTAGAGAGAAAGCTATAAGTAATTTTCTTCCCGTGAAAATTTGTTGGTACAGCTGATAAATTTTGATTGTGTTCACAAAGGAAAAGACAGACAGGTTTTGAAGAGGAAAATGTATGTTTCCTATCCAGTGAATTCAATAGTGCCTTTATCCTAAAAACTCCTGATTTTGCTTCTACAAAGCCAAATCCTGAACTAGTTTTTTTTTTTGCCTATTTATAGT